GCCCTATACACTGAGCAGTCCACCTACTCGTGTAAATGTGAGTAACCAATTTATATTTTATTTTCTGCTTTCTTGATTTTAAATAGAGAACACTATTGCTGTTCCTTTTTATTTCATATGAACTTCCTTCAGAGAAGACATCACCTCACGTATCCTATAAGTGGGGATTATACCACTGTACACACTTCATTCACTAGTCCATTAGCTCTATAAAACGTGAGTAGGATCATATAAGACTTTTACCAGAATAACACCTGATTGTTGAATATACTGCACCATTAGTTGTCTCTTATTTCCACATACAGAGTGTAAGAACATCTTCAACTTATGGGGCTTGTAGCGGAGAGCAGTGGTAGCAGGACTTCTCCGCTGGTTACTCCAACAGCTACTCAGGAACAAACAGGAAACTTCAAGACAGCAGGCATAAGCATAAAATAATCTATGAATATCCCATCACCCTTTCCAATAACTGGACGACACTCAATATTAGGAGCAGAACTGAATCTTTAATGGCCAGGCTGGCCTTTTATGCAGGTTTTGCCCCAAAGGTTATCACCCAGGTGGACCTTGTGGGGCACCGGTAAAAATACAAAGCAACCAATACAGACAGAGTTAGGTAATAAGTCACTCCCATACATTACACTCAATCCCTCCCCTCTGCTCAGGAGATAATTGAGTTAATTACTGTATCAACTCAATTATCTCCAAACAGAAAAATCACAATTTTCATACTTTTCTAGAAATACCCCAAAAACATATCATACATTAATAATTACAACATCCCCTGATAGCCCCGATCTGGGGGAGCAACATACTGAAAATTCACCAAGATCGGTTCAGGGTTTCGACAGTTTTATGGAGATCTTAGTTTTACCTTCATGATGATTCTGCAGCTAGACATAGCACAGTCTAACCACCAAGTTCTAAGCAAAAGTTAAACTAGCTTATTCTTGCAATAGTTAACACCTGACTATAAACCTTTTAAAAAATGTGCAAGTTCTATCAAATGTCCTAAATGTATTTATATGCTTTGTAAGCTCTCTTGCTTGTTATCTGCTTTAAAGGCATGACAAGCGTGTCTGTAATAATAAGCACAGTAAAAATAAAGAATAAAAAAAAAATAGAAAAAAATTGGTTTGTGTCTTAGTTTGTTAAATTCCTCTCGTTTGTGTGATTATTTTTACCGAATGCCGCTCTGTTCCCTTGAGTTCACACAAACTTGCACAAAGATGGAAGTCTCTGCACTGTTCGTGCCGTTGAGTGTCCGATTTGTGTTCCAGACACTCGACAACGAAACGCCGCTGGTGCAACTCTATGCTAAGATGGCCGCCGCCATGTGTTCGTATGACGAATGGCGGCCACCGAGGGGAACATCCAGTCAGTACGTGTGTTTGGCAATTGTGAGAGTGTGAACCAAGTTAGGGAGGTCAATTGGTGCCACGCTCCTCTCCTGGGTGGCCTGGTTGTTTGGTAGTTAGTTTGTTTCTTGAACCATGTGGTGGAAAATAGTTGAACAGGGGTTCTTACCAAACAACCAGACGAACGATAGCAAATATTATTTTGTCACTTGTTTCTACAAGTAACCAACAGGGACAACATACGAAATAAAATAACAAAAAGGTGGGTGGACAGCCATTAGAAAAAGAATGTACTGTGGCGAAGCCCATTCCGCTACAGAGCTGTTTTTCCCATATTCTACATTTTCGTTGGCTTCTACATACAGTCATCCAAAAGACATTGTTGAACTCTACTACTGGACTTTTAATCACTTAGACTATATTATTATTATTTTTAACTACTTTGCTCTTTATTACTGGTGCCATCCTATTGCTTTGTCTATCTGTAGGACTTCTGAGGGAGCCTTACTACCCTGGTGTGCTGCCCAATTATCCATTGTTTTATCTGTGCCAATACCTTGAGTGCTGACCTACCCTTTTTTATAATCTTGAATTGCTTTATCCATTTGTGGCCACCAAACATAAAATCTGGCTTGCTGCTTCATGCGCACAACACCTGGATGGCAGGATCTTTAGCATTGTAGGTTGCAGATTCTGGGGTATGAGTACTCTATTGCCCCTGTGTAGGCATCCAGCATTTTTCACAAGCTCACATTTTCTTATGAAGTATGGTTGAAATTCACATGGTACAAGAATAAAGTGTATCTTTGTAAGCGAGACGCAGTTGTTGTAGAAATCCCTTTTTGAGGGTTGAGAATTAACAGCAGGTTTGTGATTAGTGTGAAATCCCTACCATAGATGAATGCATGAAATTTCTTGGTGGCCCACACAATGGGTAATGCCTCTTTATCTATCTGCGAGTAATTTTGTTCTGCCGAAGTTAAAGACCTGGAAGCAAAATAAATGGGCCGCTCTGTGCCGTCCGGCATTATATGTGATATACAGCTCCTAGTGCATGCGGCGAGGTGCTAATGTTACCGGTTTCTTTAGGTCATAGTGGACCAGAACCTGAGAAGACAGAAACAGCTCCTTGGAAATCCAAAAAGCTTCTTCACACTTGACTGTCCATATCCATTTGGCCCTTGCATCTAAAAAGCGATGTAGTGGATATAGCCTGTGTGCTAGATTTGGTAAGAAACAGTGATAGTAATTTAAGAGGTCAAGATAAGACCTGAGCTATGATACATTTTGGGGAGTTGTGGCATGAGCTTTTATCTTTTCTTTGGTAGTGTGCAACCCATTTCGACCACATTTTGAAAGATTTACCCGTAATCCCCATGTTTGGGGGAAAAAGGGGAGGGGCATAATGCCACTCCGAACCTGGGAAAACTCTGAGACAGACAGTGAGTCTGTCTAAACAACATCACATTGCCCCTGTTTAAAAAATAGATGTATATAGTTCCATTAACATGAACAGTTGACATTTTCATCTTGGGCTGAGGAACACGTGGACAGTTCCTCAGACTACGACAACATTGTAAGGAAGTAGACACATGTTTAACAGTTTTAAAGAAATGACAAGGGATATAATAAATAGTAAAACTATGTTAGAAAAGTTAAAAAAAAAATAGAGAAGATTTATTAAAGTACATAAATAAAATGACGGAAGAGTCCAAATCAGAACAAAATCCTCTAGTTTGTCATTTTAATTCTCAAGGTAATACGAGGGTCGTACTAACTGTAATGCCTGTCAGGTCTTAAGTCCTTTATTAACAACACGAGACATGTGGAACTACATACACATGTAGAGTAACTTTTTATGTACAACATGGTACTATTCAAAATATCCTGTAGTGGTGATGCATTCACGGTTGAACTTGTCAAAGTCACTTTGGAAAAAAATATTTGGGGCATTTATGAGCCACAGAATGCCCCATCTTGGGAAAATGTCTAGCCAAAAGATATTGATGTTACCTCCGTATAGTAGTTTTATGTTCGCCAATGCAAATAGTCAATGGTTGTGATGTCTGACGCACATACCCTACCCAGTATGGATGCTTAAGCAGAGAGATCAGATGGTCAGACTGACAGTTCATAAAGTCAGTAATATCAAACCGTTTGCCTGTTCTAGTATATTTTCGATGGGGTCAATTTCATTTGTATTTTCTGTTCTAGGATGTGTGTGCCAGAAATGACCAGAAGTTTATACAGTGTCTGCATTTATCAATTCCCTTCAATGGCATTAACTAATTTCTAGTTTCTTACTTTTTGTCTTAGAATGGGCAAACAAGCTCTTAAAATTTATTTTTTATTTTTTAATAGTCAATATAGGGTGTTCCTTAAACACAATACTGATTTTAGGTTTACTTTGCCGGTACCCAGAATATCTTGAAAATGGGGTTACACAATGGATTCTATTGGTATTCCGTGTCTCCTTCTTTCGAGGATCAGTCCTGTTTATCTTGTGAACCCTCTCAAGTTTTTGATTTAGAACATTTGGGTTATACCTATGAGAGGCGAAATCCTTAAGCATCCTTTTGGCTTAAATTTTAAATTACCCTCATTGGAGACTACATAGTGTATCCTTAAATGCAGACTACAGGGTAAACTTGAAAGAAATACATTCTGCTAGCTTGTTCTAATTACAAACCAAAAGCAAACAACCTTTCAGCATTTATTACCTATACATCCTGCAACGTTGGTCACCAGCACAACTTTTAGGGCCAGACACAGCTGCAACGGGCCAGTGCCCGCACTCTCCGGGTTTCCACTGTGCTTCTCCCCTCCCGTCACTGTGTGTAGGGTGGCCAAGCACTGCTGTCTGACTGGAGTGGTCACCGAGAGAGCACTTCCTGTCAGACTGGGTACAGTGGTCTGCTCGGCCACCTTACTTGGAATTGAGGAGGATGGGGAGAGACACATGGAGATGCTAAGGGAGAGACACTTGAAGGGCATGGGGGTTGGGAGAGACATATGGATGTGCTGGATAGGGTGGAAGAAATATTTGGAGTGGGGTGGGAGAGACACGTGGAAGGGCTTTGGGGGAGTGGGAGAGACACATGTAGGGGTTTGTGGGGGTGAGAGACACAGGAAGGGGATGGAGGGGGCTGGAAGAGACACATGTAGGAGAGTTGGGAAAGACACATGGAGGGACTGAGGAGGAAAAATGAGGGGCTGGAGGGGGTGTGAGACACGTAGTGAAGAAGATCAGACACATGGGGGAGGGGGGAGCAGGGCAATTTTCACACCTGGGCCCAGTGGTTTCTAGTTATACCTTTGCCCACAAGGTGACCATAGACAGTCGCCTAGGACCCTGGAACCATTTAGTTGCTTGGTTCCATTCACCACCAAATGTAAAAAATAAAGGGCCCAAACAGGTAACCTTCCAAGGGCACTGTGGGATCTTATTCCTTTTTGGTGCATCCTCTGCTGTTTGAATGGTGAGATTAATTTTCTCAATGATTGTTATTCTCTATATTTTATTTGCACGCTCACTAATGCTTGACTTTAATCTGTAGTGTTATCTTTTTTTCCCCTTTAAAACACAGAAAAACAATTCAAATGAATAGTTTAACATTATCTTTGGCAATTTTTTTTTTTATTTTTTATTATTTACACATAGACATAACACAATATAAACTGTACAGTAATTACACCATTGCTCTATCTTTAACAACTTTATAATAGGTAACTGTGTAAGAATAGAGATTGTAGCAATTTTAGTCCACCAATGTCTAATATGTAACTCATTAAGAAACCCACTTTTGTGGTCATGAAACAATTAATGCATGTATTTGAATTATGAGCACAAGTGACCAACATCATTGACCATGCCTGTGGTCTTATTTATCTGCACCAATTCTACTAATGCAGGCAGGTTTTTGTTTTTGACCTATTTAGCAGTCTATCTGTGACATTCTTTAATGTCTGATGCTGAGAGATTAATGGGGGGGGGGGAGGGAGGCTGCAAAGGAAGACGTACAGACCAGAGGAACGACTAGGGATTTGGCACAGTTTAAAATAAAGGTGAATTAGAGATTGTATTTAAAAGTATTTGAATAAAAAAAAAACCACCAGAGAACAGTTAAGACTATACAAATGTAAATTAAAATAAAAAAAACTAATTTGTTTCTTCTGAATCAATGCAAATTAAAATTGAGTACAACCTAGCCAATTGAAATCATTTTTATTTCTCTTAACGGTAGGTACTATTTCATCTTATTAAAGACAGTTCCTTGGCGTTATGCCTCCGTCCATTTTTAACACTGAATGAGGATCCCTGGACACCCACATGAGCGCCATTGGTGGTATGGCCTAGCCAAATTTTCGAAAAGGTGAAGTGGTACAGTGTCCCTTTAACTACCTGTAATCAGTAGCTATAATTAAGAGAGAAAGAGACCTTGAAACTACAAACACTACACACACTGTTGAGTTCATTTGTTAAGTACTGACATTAATTGATAGCTATAATTGGAAATTTGTTAAGTTTAACTTTGAAATCCCAACAATTCCTACTTTAATAGATTGCACTGATAGATGCAATATCTTAAGCTATGTTCCAAAATCCTTGGTCTCGAGTAATTCCTCGAGGGTTGGCATAACAGTTGTTGTTGCCCATTGTGTTACGACGTATGGTCTGCGTCATATCCTCATATACTGTGTTCAGTGGTGCTCTGATCACATGATTGCGGCATTTTCTTCTTTGCTGTTTATTATAACGAAGAGAAGAGTTTTTTTTTTATTTAAGTTGTAGCAGCAGAATTTACCCAAGAAATATACAGATTCCACAACAAACCAAACAAAACCGTAATAAAATACAGTGTGAAATATTTTCATTAAAGGGACACTATAGTCACCAGGACAACTACAGCTTATTGAATTTGTTCTGGTGAGTAGAATCATTACCTTCAGGCTTTTTGCTGTAAACACTGTCTTTTCAGAGAAAATGCAGTGTTTACATTACAGCCTAGTTATAACTTCACTGGCCACTCCTCAGATGGCTGTTAGAGATCCTTCCTGCGCCATGGCTGCCTAAAATGCATCCAAACATCCAGTGTCTCCTCCCTCTGCATGCAGACACTGAAGTTTCCTCATAGAGATTCATTGATTCAATTCATCTCTAGAAGAAGATGCTGATTGGCCAGGGCTGTGTTTGAATCATGCTGGCGCTGCCCCTGATCTGCCTCTTTGTCAGTCCCAGCCAATCCTATGGGGAAACATTGTGATTGGATCCGTCTACCACTTCTGATGATGTCAGCAGACTGCTTGTTTTTCTGAAGCAAACAGCATGCAGAGTTACAGCTTCAGGCTTGAATACAGTAAGATTTTGCTATATTTATGGAGGCATGAGGGGCTAGATGGTGGTTTTAACACTATAGGGTCTGGAATACATGTTTGTGTTCCTGACCCTATAGTGATTATTTAAGGTTATCTTCTCTGATTGCTAGACAGGATAAACTTTGTGATTTATATTAAAAATAAAAAAAAATGGAAAAAAAAATTTCAGCACTTTTATAGTTACTGCGTATTGTAGTATTTGTTTTATAAGTAGGCTGTAACTCAGGATTGGAATAACCGAGACAGAATTACTGTCCCAGGAAGACCGAAAACTGGCTTTGCTTTAAGTTGTATTGGCGACCCGAGAGTTCTTTTAACGTTTTAGTTCCATAGTGTTATATAAAATACATCTCTTGATATCGATGTCCATTCTGGCAAGATTGCATTATATTCCTTAAGCATGAGATTTCTCAAGTCAGAGCAGCCAAGTAGACAACTACCCATCTAACCCTTTGCCAATATTTCTCAGTGACAGTCCATACTTCAAGCCTTCTAAAATAGCATAGACTTTTCCAGTTTGCATACAAATCTTTTTGGTGTTAAAATCCTAGATATGCAAAAAATAAATAAAAATACTCACTAAATAAAAATACTCACTCTCGGGTGCAAGATAACCCTGGTTCTGCCATTCGGTACACAATAGTAATCCAAAAATGTAGTGGCCCACCACAGCATTACACATAAAGAGCACTTCAATTGTATTGAGATTCCACAGCAAACAACAACGTTTCGCCCTTAGTATAGACTTTTATCAAGCTTGATAAAGGTATGTTCCAAGACTAAAACATCGCTGTTTGCCGTGGATCCTCAATAAAACTGCAGTGTTGGAGCACTACTTATATGGATGTTCTAGATATGAAATGTTAGCTACAATGATGGGCTAAGGTGGGACATTAAAACATTTTGGAGACTAGTTTCCTGTCCTGTTATATACTAATATAAGCTATTTAATATAATAATTTCTCATTAGTACTGTCATAAACAAGTGCAGAAGAGGCAGCAGAAGAATTGTATAGATCATCTAACTCTCGTGGGAATAAGGGAAGAGGTCCAATCTGTTAGAGATGCACAGGAAAGATGGAGATATGTGCCTGGCAGAGGTCCTTTTCCCTCATGTCCATGTTCCTGTAATTTAGTGCACATCATAGAGGTAGCATGTAATAGGGATCTGGATAAGACTTTGCACAAATTATGCTCACGGTCTTCAACAACTGGTATACATTGGAAGATGGGGTGTATAAATTCTGTGTCTAAGAGCCCAGACCATAACTACACCACACATGACCCCCATTCTAACATTTACAATTATTTAGATATTTAATCGGGGGAAAAAAAAGCAGTTGCAATACTTACATAAATGATTAATATTATATGCACTAAAACGGATATAACAACTAGGAACATTAGGCCAATCAGTCTAGGGTCAAAACTTGCTGATGAGCTGTGTTCTAAAAGAGAGAAAAATGCTTATTGTTTAACATACAATATGTGTCTCTTCACTTTCATTTTACCCTTACACACTTTCTGTATGATGCTGTCAAAGTTCTGTTTAGTGTAAGGTGTTATATGATGCAATCCTGTTTGACTTAGTTTTTTGATGAAAGCCTATTGCAATTTTTTAAAATTTAAAAAAAATTGTTATACTTGCTGTAATTGTCTTTTCCTGGCTAATATAAACATGGTACCATTAACTCCCCACAGTAGAAAGGAAAGGAAATCAAACTTTGAAATTAAAGGGACCCTATAGGCAGCGGTGTATCCTGGTTTTGTGCTGCCCTAGGCAGGACAAAACTCAGGCACCCCCCGCCAGCCCCTCCCACGCCAGCCCCCCCAACCCTTCTCCCCGCCCCGCCTTCTAAATACACACACACACATTCACTGACAGATACACATACACTAGCTAACAGAAACACACACACACACACACTAACAGACACACTCACACTCACTAACAGACACACATTCACTGACACACACACTCACAGGCAAACACACTCACACTAACAGACACACACTAACAGACACACACACAGTCAGACACACACACAGTCAGACACACACACACTCACTGACACACAGTCAGACACACACATACACACTAACAGACAAACACAGTCAGACACACACACTAACAGACACACACACTCACTAGCAGACACACACTAGCAGACACACTCACACTCACACAGTCAGACACACTCACTGACACACACACACACACACACACACTCACAGGCAGACACACTCACACTAACAGACACACACATACACACACACTCACAGGCAAACACACTCACTGACACACAGTCAGACACACACTAACAGACACACACTCACTCACTAGCAGACACACACTCACACTCACACAGTCAGGCACACACACACACTAACAAAACACACACATTAACAGACACACTCACAGACATATACACACACTCACATTAACACATTTTTATTTACCCAACCTCCTTACCTTTGGGAATGCTGGGGGGGGTTCCCTCTCTCCCTGGTGGTCCAGTGGCTGCTGGGCTGGGCGCGCGGCTGGCGAGAGAACTGGTGATATGACGTCATCTTCCGGCTCCCAGCCTCACTGTGCGCCAAGCGAGGGAGCTGAGCAGACCGCTCAGGGGAAGAGCTCCCTCGCCAGCCAGCCAGCCAGCCGCCTGCCCAGCCCCCAGCGCCCGGCATGTCAGTTAGCCGCGAGGCTAACTAGGCATTTGCCCTGGGCATTTGGGGGCGGCGTTTTTTGCCGCCCCCTGGAAAATGCCGCCCAAGGCAAATGCCTTGTTTGCCTCGCGGCTAATACGCCCCTGCCTATAGGCACCCATACCACTTCAGCTCACTGGAGTGGTCTGGATGCAATGTCCCATGTCCCTTAACCCTACAGGGATAATTATTGCAGTTTCTGAGAAACTGCAATAATTATCTCTCAGGGTTAACTCCACCTCTAGTGGCTGTCTACCAAGGCTGGCAAAAGGCTGCAGAGGAAGGAGTGTGGCACTGTAACCACTTCAACAAACTAAATATTTAAAATTATTATTTTTTTTGCATCTTTGTTTCATTTTGAATGTATCTCCTGCTCTGTTAATAGCCAGATAGAGCTTGCAGGAGCCTCCTGTGTGTGATTAAAGTTCAATTAATAGAGCAGGTAAGAACTGTAAGATTTGATTTGAAAATGAAACAATTTCTTTCATGGAGATTGTGTGAGTAACAGCCAGGGGAGGTGTGGTGAGAGAGTTAACTCCTAAAATGACCTGAGAACTGAGCAGTGATACTGCAGGGGCATGATCTATACACGAAAACTTCTCAAAAGATAAACAAAAATTTGTTTTGGTGCTTAGGATATCCCTAAATTTGAAATTCACTTTGCATTCCCACTTCAGCAAATAACCCTGATAGAATCTTTTCATTTAGATAATGTCTGAACTAATAACTGACCAAATACCGTAGATTCCATTCCACAGCACAGTATCTTAACTCACTATAAAAACAACTGTTACATTGAACAAAACAGGTGAAATTCGGACTTACCTTGGCAATTATCTACTGTGACTACAGTGCCTTTTCCGCAGATTTTTTTGCTTGTTAATCCTTCACAGTAATATACATCAGCATCACTCTGCGTCACATTGTTGAGAGTTACTGTGAAATTTGACGCTGTGCCATAAAACTCAAGATGACCCGCATAGTTTAGATCTGAGATATTTGTGTTGTCCTTATAAATAAACACCAACACTGCGTCTCCCTTTTTGAAATGAACGCCCTCTAGTTCTTCTTGGGATTCGACTAAGCAGGTAATAGAAATCGACTCTCCTGGTTTACATATGATGTGTTTAGGAGTTTGGATTACTCCATCTAAAATAAATAAGTAAATAAATAAAACACAATCTTCAGGCACTCACAGAATTAAAGCCACAGGCAGATTTATTGGCTCAAGAAAGCAAAGCAACGTTTTGACCTATTAATTGGTCTTTATCAAGCTTAATGGTGGACTGTCCCTTCTCTAGAATTTACACCATTTAATACAAATTTTAATTCACCTATAACTCGTGTTAACTTTTTTTCATGTGATGCTTTTTCTATTTAAATTTATATTAAAGAATTAGGAAAGTACGTCACAATCCAGCTCGGATAAGGCAAATCCTTTAATTTCTCCTCTTTTCTGTATGCTTTCTCTATGCTGCCTTTCGGTTACAAACTACACAGCTTATGTTAATAAGTAACCGAGAACTAAGATGGCGGCACCCAGTTGCAAGATAAATAGGACAATGAAATGGACTGGGTGCATTTGTCCTGCAGTTTTAAACATTGTCTTTTTGGAGAAACGGCAAAGCTTACCTGCAAAGGTTAAACTTTCAGCTAAATGTTGCATTGCTCCGAGTCTCGAATTATTCGTGACCTGTTTGTTTCCTTGTAACATATATTGGTACAGTTGTATACCGTTTGTACGAAATCTAATAAACTACAAAAAACAAACAAAAAAAACCTCTCATCTAGTCACTGTGTATGTAGTGTTCAGTATGCAGAATGCTTCCCTATAAGGAGCTTTGGATTGTACCAGCAAAAAGGAAGCACAGTCTTCTCGATGACGTTGTGGGAGGCGAATACGGTGGCAGAGTAAAAAGTGAAACTTTTTTTTTTTTTTTTACCAATTTCTATTGTAGAGAGGGCGGAGGGGAGGTTCTAAGGTTCTATCTAACTAAAGACAGGGGCACTAGAAATGTGTTAGGAATACTGGTCCAGTGTTCCTTTAATGTTATTTTTCATATCTCATAAATACTTAAATATGAGTAAACAAAATTATTACAGATTTCAGGGAGGGGTGGTTGCTGTTTAAATAATATCATGTTAGTTATTTCGAGCAAATATATGCCAGCAATATATTAAAATATAGTACATATATAACTTGCGTGCTTCTATATAAGAAGTAACTACTCTGATTTATGGCCCAGTTCTTGAGAGTTGCTAATCAGATGAAACCTGCCCTATTGATCCTCTATACTCAGACTTCTAGCTGTGATACGGTTTACATAACACGACTGTATAGATTAATAAAGGCATTACCTGGACAGTATCTCCAGAAGACTTACAGATTTTTACAAAAAATAAATAAAATAACTACATATAACGTTGTTAGATTGTTATTATGGTATTAAAATATACATGATCTACTGGACAAACTACTGTCCCACTAGTAGTTCTTTGCCGGTTAGATCCAAATCTTATATGAAAAAATGTTTCTAGAGAACCTCCTTGCTTCATCAAAGCCTGTTTTTCTTCTGAAGATCCAGAATAACAGCCTTAATGAGTAAAGTCTGTCCGAAGTATCGTTGAGGCTGTATGACTTGCCCAGAAAGGTATTATATCTTAATTTTTATTTCATTACAAATGGATACAATGTATTCAGTATTAATAGATGACGTAGAATGACATAATAATTATGGGTACGTGTTTTTTTTTTCTTCTGGTCATGTCACTAATAAAGTTTTTTAAAACTCTGCCTCTTAAAACCGAACTTACAATTTTCTCCCCTTCATGTAAGTGTTTAAGTTCCACTATCAGTATGCCTTCATTTTAATTTTGCAACCATTAACAGTACCCTCTATGTTCGTTGTCTCGGTTTCCCCTTCCATTCCGACCTCTCTATTGTGCTCCGTATCCAGTCAATATCCAAATCCGAACTCTTTCATCTAACAAATAGGGCTGAAATATGGATTACATCATTTTAATTTCTTAAAGTGTTTATTTGCTTACGGTTAAACCTCTTTTTTTCTGAATGCTCTATTTTTGCAAATCTCAAACAAGCAAAACAAATAAACAAAACACTTCATGGTTGTATAATAGCCACCGAGAAGTGGGAAGGAAGAAGGGCCTTGAGCATACTGAGTGCGCTACCAGGGATTCTATGATGATAATTGGTATAACTGCACTCACAATATGTTTGCTTCATGTCCACATTCAAACATTTTATTTTTTACATTCACAATGCATTTTTAGGAAGCTCAATTTCTACAAATGATGTTGGGTCCCTCATAAAAATTATCAAATAGGATATTTGACCATTTTAAAAATGTATATCTGAAGAGTCAGAAAACTTTTGAACCATTGACCATATACATGTCACATATATTAGGGTTATGCTACCATGTAAAAACAATCTATTTTGCATCTCTCTTGCTTTAGTTAATATGCAGCTTTTACTACATCCCTACTTCCCCCCTCCACCCCCCACATCCTGATTAAAGGACTCCTCATATTCTCATAATATCCCAATGACCTGTTTCCAGTTTGTCTTACCAGGCATATTAACACAATTTATACTTGCCAACCACATTCTCTAAATTCATATCTCCAGTCTTAATCCTCTAATTAATCTCCTCCAGACAAGTTTCCCCAATTCAGCTCCCTTATCCAAATACCGATCCAGTACATTTTGCTCTAGCCACATCGGCCCTCAGCTATATCCATCCCCAGTACCTCTTTACCCCAGATAGGAGTTCACTTACCTGGGGGAGGGGGGATTAAAAATAAAATTAAAATGTGTGTGAGTGTATGAATGATGCGAATATGAGTATGTGTGTATATATGATTGTGTGTGAATATATGTGTGCACATGAATGTGAGTGTATTTGAATATGCCTCTGCATGTTTATACAAATTTGAGTGTGTAATTATGAATATAAGTATATGAATGTGAGCGTGTGCGCATGAATGTTCCTGTGTGTATGAATGTGAGTGTGTTAGTATGTGTGTCCCCACTACAGCCCCTATCCTATCAATCATTATAGCCACTATTCCCTATCACAGCCCTATATCCTCACCAGAGCTCCTGTACTCCCTCTACAACTGTGTATGTACCTGCTACAGCCACTCTTGCCCTACTACAGATCATATACACCATCATGGCCCCTGTCCTCCGACTATAGCTCCTATCTCCCCACAGTCCTTATGCTACCAAAACAGCTATTTCCCCCCACCACAGTCCCTGTCCTCCCAATACAGCCACTATTCCCCCCACTACAGCGCCTACCCCACCTCAACAGCTAATACACCCCACAACAGCAACTGTCCCTCCACTAATGCCCCTGTATCCCCACTACTGCCACTATCCACCCACCACAGCCCCTATCCACCAACCACAGCCAATATCCCCCTCACTACAGGCCATATCCTCCCACTACATCCCCTGTTTTCTCACCACGGTCCCTGTCCCTCGACCATGGCCGCTATCCCCCACCATGTCCATGCCCCATCCACAACAACAAACACACAAAAGGGCCCTATCCTACCAAATACACACACTTCATCCACTATTTCCCTTAACACACACTCTTCAACCTCTATCCACAAACAGCCCCTGTTTACATGCCCACACACATACCACACCACAAGCAGCCCCATCCACACACAACCTACAATCAAACAAGCAGCATCTATCCCATGCATGCAAACCTACAAGCAGCTTCCATCACATACACAACCCCACAAGCAGCATCCACCAACACACACACACACACACACACAAACAACCCCGCAATCAGCATCTCGACAAACCCTGCTGTGGTGACATTTTGTCACCAAACTAATATGGTGACCAGGAGTCATGTGACCAAGCTTATGTATGCCTTTCTTACAGGGGGATAAACTTTACCATTTGATATGGTAATTAGGTAACTCAATAACTTTACAAGGCAGGAAAGAGATAACCACTTTTCCCTGTCTCCATTCCTCCTGTTCCTTCTTGATTGTGTTTCTGTGTGAGCAGACATGGGCTAATTTTTATCATGGTGAAATGTGAGTGGGATCTGATGACTTTATAAGGTTCAATTGTTATTTTTAGTAAGTTAGATTGTGATTGTTGTTATTATTGTTTTAGTTAGATTATGTGTCATTATTTGTATGTTGTTGTTGTTTTGTCTCTGAATAAATATTTGTTAAAGTAGACGGATCAGAGTTTATATGTGCATGCGTACATAATTTATATAGTTTGGTGCTACACCACACCTGCATTAATCCCTTAATGACGAGTGACAGACGAGGTCCGTCACTCAGGGGAAACCCTTAACGACGAGTGACGGACCTTGTCCGTCACGCGGTAAAATTAACCCCAGATCGCGGGGTTAATGATGCTCCGGTCTGCCTCTGTATTAGAGGCAGACCGGGAGCACCTGATCTCACTGCCCAGCACATGTGCTCGCTCTGACAGCTCGTCAGAGTGAGCACATGTGCTTAGTATACTTACCTTCCACCTCCCTGCACTTCCTGGTTATGTGTGAAGTGCAGGGAGCCGGAACAGTGATGATCCTGCCCCGTGTAAAAAAAATAAATAAAGTTAATTTAAAATCCCACCCCCTTTACCCATTTTAATAAAAAATTAACCCCTTCCCTGCCAATTGATCACTGACTAAAGTGATCAATTGTCAGGGATTACATTTTACTATGATCTGATTTTTTTTTTAACCCCTGAGGGTTAATTCTTCTTTTTTTTAACCCTCAGGGGTTAAATTTATTTTATTAATTAATTTAAGTATTTAAAAATAATAAATTTAGCTAGCTGGGGTGGGTGGAAGTTAGTGGGGAATTGGGGGGATTTGGTGTTAGGCTAACGTTAAAAATAAAAAAGTTTTAAAATAAGCTTTAAAAAGTTCAAAATTAAGTAAAAAAAAAGTAAAAAAAAAAAAAACACCCCTCTTTAGTCAGTCCAAATAAAAATTAACCCCTTCCCTGCCAGTCGATCACTGCCTACAGTGATCAAAATACAGATCACAGTATTATATTGCGATCTAATTTTTTTTAACCCCTGACGATTAACTTTTATTTATTTTTTAACCCTCAGGGGTTCAATTTATTTCATTTACTAATTTAAATATTTTATAATTATATATTTTGCTAGCGTGGGTGGGAGTTATGGGAAAATGGGGAATTTACTGTTAGTGCTGCTTACTGCTAGTTAGGGGTTAATGGTAAAAAAAAAAAAAGCTTAGAAAAATGTTAAATCTGTAAAAAGTTTTAAGAAAGTTTAGGAAATTTAAAAAAAATTAATAAGCAAAACAAAAATTTAAAAACTAGTTTTTAAAAGTAAAAAAAAGTTTCAAAAAGTAAAAAAATACATTTAAAAATGCTCATTACTACTACACCTGGAACAAACTAGAAAAAAAATGATCCCACGCCAAGGTTCAAAATATGCCTTTTGAATTACCTCAGGGTGTATTCTTTAATAAATAGTATGTGTTTGTGGGGAAGTTTCAATAACCAACCATCTAAACTACTCCAAATTGGAACATGGACACAGCGTAAAACTTCAAAGTTAGAAAAAAACTGAATGGCTGCGTCTCAAATGTGCCCCTTCAACATCCACATATACTTGGCAAAGGTACATACGGGGGTATTGCTGTACTCAGACCACATAGCTGAGCAACATATGAAGTATTATACAGTCGTAGCACACATAAGGTTTGCAAAATATACTGTGCAAACTCACTTTGTGTGTCAAAAAGCAGAAAAAATGCTTATTACCACTACACTTGGTACAAGCTAGCGGAAAAATGATCCCACGCTAAGGTTCAAAATATGCCTTTTGAAATACCTTGTGATGTCTTCTTTAAGAAATGGTATGGCTTTATGGGTTATTTGGATTATATAGCCTGGTAAAATACTCTAAAATGGGACATGGGCACAGCGTAAAAATTAAAAGGTTGAAAAAAAACTGGAATGGCTGTGTCCCAAATGTGCCCCTCCGATGTCCACTGGCAAAGGTACATACGGTACATGTCCTGGCAAAGGTACATACGGGGGCAGGGCCGCCATCAGGGCATGACAACCGCAACGGTTGTCATGGGCCCGGCGGTCCTGGGGGGCACGGACTGCTCAGGTCGTCCGGGCCCCACATTCAGTGGGTACATACCGGGTCGCAGGGGGCCCTGCGACCCCGGTATGTACCCACAGGGCCAGCCTCTTCTCCTGGGGGGCCCAGCAGCCGGTCACCTCAGGGCCCCCCCAAGGCTGGCCCTGCTGACACCCGGCGGGCGGGCGCACGAGGGAGCACTCTCTGTGTGCTTCCTCTTCAGCTCCCTCGCGCACAGTACTGATGCCGAGCCGGAAGATGACGTCATCTTCCGGCTCCGGCATCAGTACGGTGCGCGAGGGAGCTGAAGAGGAAGCACACAGAGAGTGCTCCCTCGCGCGCCTGCCCGCCCGCCGCCGCCGGGTGTCAGGGGGGGAGGGAGGAGGAATGAAATTTGAGGGAGGGGGAAGAAATGAAATTTGAGGGGGGGAATGAATGAAATGGGAGGGAGAAAGGAATGAAATGGAAGGGGGAAAGAATGGAGGGGGGGAAGGAATTTGAAATGGGAAGGGGGGAAAGGAATGGAGGGAAAGGAATGGAATGGGGAGGGGGGGGAAAGGAAATGAAATGGGAGGGGGAGGAAGGAAAATGGGAGGGGGGGGAAGGAATGAAATGGGGAAGGAATGAAATGGGAGGGAGGGGGGGGGAAGAAAATGGAGGGGGGGAAGAATGAAATGGGAGGGGAGGGGGGGAAGAAATGGGAGGGGGGAAGAATGAAATGGGCAGGGGAGGGGGGGAAGGAATGAAATGGGCAGGGGAATGAATAAATGGAGGGGGGGGGAGGAAGGAATGAAATGGGAGGGGGGGAAGAAATGGGAGGGGGGAATGAATGAAATGGAGGGTGGGAAATGAATGAAATGGGAGGGGTGGGGAATGAATGAAATGGGAGGGGGGGAGAAGGAATGAATGGGTGGGAGGAATGAAATGGGCAGGGGGGAATGAAATGAAATGGGAGGGAGGGGGGGGAATTAAATGGAGAGGGGGAAGGAATGAAATGGGAGGGTGGAATGAATGAAATGGGAGGGAGGGGGGGAAGAAATGGAGGGGGGGAGGAATGAAATGGGGGGGGAATGAAATGAAATGGGAGGGGGAGGGGGGATGAAATGGGGAGAGGGGAAAGGGAATGAAATGGAGGGGGAATGAATGAAATGGGAGGGGGGAGGGGAAGAAATGGAGGGGAAAGGAAATGAAAATGGGAGGGGGGAATGAATGAAACTTGGAGGGGAGGGGAGAGAGGAAGAAATTTGAGGGGAGGGGGGAGATGAAGAAACTGAGGGGAGGAAGGAAATTTGAGGCAGGGAGAGGAAGGAAATTTGAGGGACGGGGGGAGAGGAAGAAAATTTGAGGGACGGGGGAGAGGAGGGAAATTTGAGGGACGGGGGGAGAGGAAGGAAATTTGAGGGATGGGGGAGAGGAAAGAAATTGGAGGGGAGAAGGAAGGAAATTGGAGAGGGGGAGAAGGAAATGAGAGGGAGGGGGAGAAGAAGGAAATTGAAGGGGGGAAAAGAAGGAAATTGGAGGGGGGGAAGAAGTAAATTGGAGAGGGAGGGGGAGAAGAAGGAAATTGGAGAGGGAGGGGGAGAAGAAGGAAATTGGAGGGAGAGGGGGGGAGAAGGAAATTGACGGGGGGAGGGGGAGAGATTGACATCCATCACACACAATGCACCCCTTGCACACAGAAAAACACACAATGCATTACACACAGACACACGTACACAAGCAATGCACCCCTTACGCACACACTGCATCCCATACATACACAAACTCATCTTGCAGCCCTTACACATACAAACACAGATTCACACAATGCATTCCTTTCACACATCAGGACATCCCCCACAGACACACTTCACTACCTGTGAACAAAATCATTGGTGGAACATGAAGGTGGACCCTGGGACCCAGACCTTGAGCTGTGTAAAGGGCCCCCAAAAATGGAGCTGCTTCCTGTTCTCCCAGAACATTGATTTTTGTGACCACAGTTACAAACCGCCTCCAGAGAGCCTGTTGTACACCAGACCAGTGGAGCCAGACGGCAGCTAGAGCCCATCATCATCCTCATCTGGTTGTAAGTAGGCAATCTAATATATTATTCGTGGCACTAATCTCTAATTTACCTCACATTAAAGGGACACTATAGTCCCCAGAACCACTGCAGCTTAACGTAGTGGTTCTGGTGTCTAGCCTGTCCCTGCAGGCCTTTTAATGTAAACACGGCGGCACTGCAGCACTGGTGTTAGTTAACATGGCAGATCAGATGGGTGGGGCATTGTGATGTCACATGGGGGGGCGGCAGACTTTACTTTTGCCTAGGGTGGCAAAAATCCTTGCACCGGCCCTGCAGACACTGCATCCCTGTGGGCGTATTCGGGAGGGGCAGCACTTTGGGCGGACTCAGGTGCAGGCACTGGGGGGCCCAGACCTTGAGCTGTGTCAGGGGCCCCAACATTTCTGATGGCAGCCCTGTACGGGGGTATTGCTGTACTCAGCCAACATAGCTGAGCAACATATGAAGTATTATACAGTGGTAGCACACATAAGGTTGGCAAAATATACTGTGCAAACTCACTTTGTGCGTCAAAAAGGCAGAAAAATGCTTATTACCACTTGACCTGGTACAAGCTAGCGGAAAAATGGTCCCACGCTAAGGTTCAAAATATATCTTTTGAAATACCCTGGGGTGTTTACTTTAAGAAATGGTAGGCCTTTGTGGGGTAGTTTGAATTTAAAACCTGCGAAGATGCTTGGAAATTGCACATAGGCCCAGCGTCAAAATTCAAAGTTTGGTAAAAACTGATATGGCTTGGTCTCCTATATGGCACTGTAGCTTCACGAAATAGGGCCAAAGACATTCATTAGGGGGGTCTTTTTACTCAGAAGACTTAGCTGAGCATAATTTGGGGGGTTTGAACTTAGTGGCACATATGAAATATACAAAATGCCCAGCAAAAATGCAGTCTGTATGTAAAAAATGCACAAATTTTTTTTTTACCACATACTTTGGCATATATTGGTGAAAAAATTGGGGCATGTTAAGGCACAATATGCACCTTATGAGATACCCTGGAGTGTCTAATTTTACAAATGGTAGGCCTTTGTGGGGTTTTTTGAACAGTCAAACTACTATAATCCCCCAAATGGAAGCAAAGGCTCATTAAATCCGTCTCTCAAAATTCTACTGTGAATACTGAAAAGGACAGGTATCCTATATGGCACTGTAACTTCACGAAATAGTGCCAAAGACATACAATGGGGTTGTCATATTACTCAGCAGATGTAACTGAACACAAAATAAAACTTTGTACAGGAATAGCACACACCAACTTTACAAAATACACATGAGAATTTCTTTGTTATAAGTTTGTGTGCCAAAAACAAAAAAACAAAAAACACAATTTTACTCCAATATTTAGCAAACGGTATATAATATGTGTCGGTGCAATAAATTTGTAAAATGCAAATTGCAGTTTAACGTAAACTCAAAAAATGCAAAAAATGCTGTTGTCATTAAGTGAAAGACAAGCTTCTGAAGCTCTGTCCTTAAGGGGTTAACGATTCCAGTTGCATAACCCAAACGTTTTCATATTTGTATGTGTAATATGGGTATTTTTCAGCCATTCTGGTGTAGATTTGCTGGTGTGCTTGAGATTATTGTCCTGTTAAATAACCCAATTTCAGTCAAACTTTTATGGTCAACCCAATGACTGCAAGGTTCCCAGATCCTGTGGCTGCAAAACAAGCCCAAATCATTACTCCTCCACCACCATGCTTGACAGCTGGTATGAGGTGTGTGTGCTGATATGCTATGTTTGGTTTTTGCCAAACGTGGTGCAGTACATTATAAATCTCCACTTTGGTCCCGTCTGTCCAAAGGACACTGTTCCAAAAGTCTTGTGGTTTCTCCTGTCAACCCTTCCAAACAAACCATACTTGTACAGTGTTTTTCTAACTGTACTGCCATGAACTTTAACATTTAACATGCTAACTAAGGCCTGAGATGTATCTTGGCTTTTTTTGCAATCTCTCTGAGCGTTGCACGATCTGGCCTTTGGGTGAATTAGCTGGGATGCCCACTCTTGGGAGTATTGGGAACTGGTCTTGAATGTTTTCCACTTTTGAATGATGAACTTTAAATTGTTTGGAAATTGACTTAAAACTCTTCTCACTTTGATGACCAGCAAAAATTGCTACTCGAAGATCATTTCTGATGTTGTTCCTCCTTGGCATTCTGTTAACACACACCTGAATGCTCCAGACCAGCAAACTGCTAAAACTTTGACTTTTATAGAGGTGGTCACACTTGCTGGTGGTCAATTAATCAAGGGCATTTGCTTACCAGCACCTGTCTGCTACTTAGCCACTTAAATCCTATGGAAGCAGTAAGAGTGTACTTAGTTTTTCACACCAGACTTTTCCATAAAAAAAAAAAAAAAAATACAAAAATTACACTGTGTAATCTGTCACGAGTTGTTGTTCTTCTGGGGTTGTATTTACCTAATTTTAAGACCTGATCAGGAACAGGTGATTGTTATTATGTCCTGATATGTATTTATAAAGCCATGGGCAGACCCAATGGAAAGATTAAACATCTACCTTGACAATCCAGTGCAGGCTTAGTTTGTTGGAGGGGGGCCTGGATACTCTAGTCTGACTGCTCAGTGGAGGTGCTATTCTGCAAGCCTGGGCCATTCACAGCTTTTATACTACACAGTGCCAGAGCTCAAGAGAAGATCATACTAAATCTGCAGTCTCTCACCACTGAACTACGAACCTGTTTCCCTCCCCCCACCCCACCTTTTTTGGCCCAAGGTAAGAAGCAGGGAGAGGGGAATAAATTGTAATATATTTAATTATACCCAATTCTATTTATTTAACTTTATTATATTATATAACAAAAATAATAAATAACATTATGTATATATTTTGCAGTACACTGGGCCATTTTCGTGTCCTATTTGGTTAGTCCAAATTATTCTCCTGGATATTTTTTTTTTATGGACGATATTTAGATGAGCCAAACTGTCAAATGAATGAGTGTTGGTGGTCCCAAACTGAATAACATTTTCTAAAGAAATTGTGCTCAAAGGTCATGTCAAACTACCTTAATTGCATTCTATTAAGAAATAAGTAGAAGTATAGATCAGGGTTGCAGTGGATGTGATCTATTTGGATTTTGCCAAGGCGTTTAACCTATTGTGTGGAACCGGATCAATGTTCAAACTCAATGAAATTGGTCTAGATGAAAATTCTTGTTCTTAGATAGAACATTGCCCTAAATGTGAGTACATAGAGTTGTGATTAATGGTACATTTTCAAGCTGGACAAAAGTAGTTAGTGGCATCCCTTAGGGTTCTGTTGTGGGACCACTTCTATTAAATATATTTATAAATAGTCTTGAACTAAGCATTGAAAGTCATAGATCAGTGTTTGCAGATGACACAAAACTCTGTGTGAGCAAGATATTACTTTGCTGCAGAGGGATTTAGATCAATTAGGGGACTGGGCACTCAAATGGCAGATGAAATTTAATGTAGAAAATGCAAAGTTATGCACTTGGGGGTAAAAAATGCACAAGCAACTTACACCGTAAATAGTAGTGAATTAGGGATAAAAACACACAAAAAGGATGTGTGAATTGTAAGACCACATCTTTAATATGCTGTTCAATTTTGGGAACCTGTTTTTAAAGAAAGATATTATGGCACTAGAAAAAGTGCAGAGATGGGCTACAAAATTAAAAATATGAATGAAATATTTTACTTATGAAGAAAGGTTAACAAAATTAGACTTAGTTTAGAAAAACGGCGCATCAGAAAGGATATGATAGCATTATATAAATATATCCAGGGCCAATACAAACCATTGTCTGGAAACCTATTCACACCCAGGACTATACATAGGACACAAGGTAACACGTTCAAACTGGAAGAAAGCAGATTTACTCTAAGGCAAAGGAAGTTTTTTTTTTGTTTACAGTAAGAACAATACGGAGATGGAATTCTCTGCCTGAAGAAGTGTTTATCAGATTCTGAACAGATGTTTAAACAGCAACTGGATGCATACCTGCAAAAACACAATATTCAAGGATATAATTTTTAAACTGTGGGATAAAAGCTTCTTGATCCAAGGAGATATCTGACTGCCATGTGTATAGGGATTTTTTCCTAGTTTGTTGCAAAATTGGAAGTGATTTAAACTGGGTTTTTTCCCCCATTCTTTTGGATCAACAGCAAAAGACAAATGTGAGAAAGGCTGAACTTGATAGACACATGTCTCTTTTCAGCCGATGTAACTATGTAACAAATCTATTGGTGATCCTTGCAAAAGAAATTAGACATTTCACAGGTAGTAAAAACCAAAGAAAAAGAGCCACATTTGGAACTGTCACAAAAAAAAAATAAAAAAAAATATATATCTTAAAAAACTATATATATCACAAATGAATCATAATTTTACAAAACAACAAAGCTTTGTAGTCAAATAATGAGTCATCTGTGTGAGAAACTGTACTTGTAAGTGTATTATAGGAAAATTGTTATGCAATTAAGAAAGTTGTAATTCTCTATACCATGAAATACTGCATTCTAAATAATAATTTGAAGAATTACATTTCAGTAGGGAATACACTGCAACTCTTCTGGGTATGATAGTAAAACACTAAATATTACCAATATGAACATTCCATGACACAAAACATTCGTCTGCAAAAAGTAGTGATGACAACAGTGGGAATAAACGATAGGTAGGTAGAAAAGTAGACAGACGGCACGTGGAAGTTGTAAGTAAATGGAAACATGGCTGAGGTCACTTTAATTCACTTACCTTCACAGCAGCTTGCAGTAATTAGAGAAAGATTGATTATGGTAAGAGCAATTCTTTGCAGCATTGTTGCTCTGAGTTCTGCCATGCATTTGTGGCTTTACTTTGTGAAACACCTGTTTTTTAATCTGCAGATGAGTGGGGGAGGGAAAAACGTGGGCAGATTGGAGGTAGAGTTGTCAGAGGTGATCTATCACTTGTTGTGAAGTGTTAAATTGAACACATAAAGCTGTTGAAATAAGGCGTAGAAAATTATTTTTAATAATTTACAAAAAGTATATTATTTAATTGTACATTACATGTTATTTATGTTGCTTATATGTATGATGGATATAAATCATAGTGGAAACATCAGTTGAAAAAATAAAGTTTCACATTAAAATAAACCACATTTAGAAATTCTGTAAAGGTCATAATATTCTGCTTTTCAGTTACAAGAAATTGGTTTGACATTTCGCTCTTTTATTTGTATTTTTAAAGTTTCATGATTAATTAGCATAGTTCCAATAAATAAACCTAATAGCTTGTACTCAAATTTCTGACGTATCTGCATTGGAACAGAGGGGCAATGGTCGAAAGTTGAATCTAACAGGATAGACAAGCGTTTCACAGCAGTTACTGAATGCTACAGAATACCTACAGTTTCAGCCGCTAAAAATAGTATTAGATAGGCATTTGTGATCTAGTCTCAACAAATGCTGTACATTGTGTACCATTTAGAATTTTTAGTAAGATTGCCTGTAATAACTATTTATATTTAAGACAAACTGCTATAGACCCGGTGTGTCCAACAGGTAGATCCCCAGATGTTGTAGAACTACAACTTCCATGATGCTTTGCATGCCTTTAGCAAGGGCAACCCCCGGAATAAATAAGGAGGGTGGAGCATGACTGCTGCCCGGAGAGGATGGCTTCGTGACAAAAGGATCACCCCTGTTGGGTATGCACCTAGACCGGGGACACTGGGAGAGACTTACCAGACCATCGGAGGGCATGCTGAAGGAACCTGGCAGTGCTGTTTCCCAGCCACCTTCCCTGGGTAGGTTTGGGATGGGATTTGTGATTGGTTACTGTTTGGTTTGTTGTTTCCGTGTTTGTTTGTTTTCTGTTTATTTTGTCACAGCTGCGTTTTTTTCCTTCACCAGCAATTGGAACGGAGTTCATTGCCAGGAAGGGCTTGGGGAGTCGCAGCCTGGTTCGGTTGAGGACGGACTTCAGGCTGAATAGGCTCTGGACAATGGAGTTGATTGGTAGCTGTCTGCTGGGAATCCTGGCAGCTGACAGTGGTTATTTTATTCTGGCTTATAAATAAAGATGGTCGTTGCCCTTACCCACAAATTTGGTTGCCCGTAAGTTATTGGGTGAAGGGTGATGGATGGAGGTGTAGAGGGTCAGCAGTCATGCTTTAGAATGACAAAGCATCATGGACACTATAGTTTTAAAACATCTGGGAATCTACCTTTTAGGCACACCTGCTAAAGCCTAACCAGGTTACTTATTAAATTGGGAATTATTTGGAATTCAAAGTGAATTAAAAAATTTGACATTTAGTGCCAGAGTAGCTGAATTGGAAGTATAGTTGACTTGGGGAATGTTACCAGTTGGATATTTTGGTTTTAAATTAAAAATTCACTTTGAATACAATTTAGCTACCTGCTAATTAAAAATTCACTTTGAATACAATTTAGCTACCTGCTAATTCTCAGTTAAGTCAATAACCTTCGAGGAGCTCAAAGAAGAGAATACCATTGCACATTAAAAAAATTAAGTTCACAGACATATACAAGAAGATATTCACACACATGGTAAAATGTGTCAAAATAAGGCGACACTGACTTCACAGGTTTTTAAAATATATATTTTACATCTCTTTATTTCCCCTTGTCTTTTTTTCTTTGAAACGCACTCTTTTTTTATGTAGAATATGATCTCTGGCAATGGGTGGAACTCAAGCAAGGTTGGTTTTCAGTTGCAAAATCAATTTTACTACAATCCAACAGTCACGGAAATGGAAAAAAATAAATGGCAAAGGGGATGTATAATCATTAAGGAAGAATTGCCACTGTAACAGAACGTCTGGCACCCCAACTGGGTGCCTTCCGTTGACGGATGCTCCTAGTGGTTCCCGAGGGCTCCAAGCACTCCACTATAACCGCCGCAGACCCCACGAACCGCCACAGCTTGGTTGGGGTCTCGCTGTCTTCCTCCTACTCTGGGTCCAAGAACAGGAACCAGCTTCCAGTAGGCAGACCTCTCCTAAATCCAGAGAGCAGGAAAAGGAACAAGCTCTTACAAGAGCTTACTCTGGGGAGTATAGGGATTATAGCTATCCCCAGAGTGTAGGTAGTTCTCCAATCCCCCAAACATGAGCCGAAACTTCATGAAGGGTAGAACAAGTCTGTTTAATGAGCACAAAGTCATTTCTCTTATAAACATTTTCCCCACAAGGTTACCACCCACATGGACCTTGTGGAGCACAGGACACAAAGGACAACAGCCAATCAACACAGTATTGTACAGTTAGACACTCCCAGCTAATGTACACAAACCCTCCCCTCTGCCTGTGATACAGTCCAGAAACACCCCAAAACAAGAACATATCCCAACAAATTATACATCCTGATCGCCTTGATATGGGTGAACAACATATCCAAAAATCACCCAGATCAGAGCAGGGATTCAAAAGTTTTATGGACGTCACATTTGACCGACTGCAAGCTTGGCTTTCATGCCCAAAACAGTTCCCCAGATTTAGGCTGTGCGGCTGGTCTATCTTCTCCTCTATTCTGGTGATAATTAGGTTACCACAGCCACTTAAACCAATTATCTCCAGTAACAGGAAATATCTTTAAGTCAAAAACTGTTACAAAAACCACATAAAAATACATAACTCATATAATACAATGTTTAACCTATATGTCCAACATGTCGGCAGATAGCTTGGATCTGAGCGCTCAATATGTCCGAAAAGTGCTCAGATCTCACGAATACAGTTGGATCACCATGGGGTTAACCAATAGCAAGGGCTGTTGAGAGATTGAGGAGGGACAAAGCAGCCAGTTTTAACTGGTCTGGCAGACACCCTGCTGGAGAACAATAGGACAGGAAAAAGGGGGAGGGGAAGAGGCACATTTTCCCATGGATTTAAAGGGGTAGAAAAAATATGTTTTAAAATCCAATAAGCCCAAAATAAAGCTTAGGGGCCATAGTCACAGGGCAAAAGGCTGGCAAGCATGCCTCTCCAAACCCCAGTGACAAAGGTGCTTTCGTCACAGTCACTTTCTTAAATTTTGATTTTCTTTTATGAGTTGAAAGCAAATAACATTGACATTAGATTTGTACAGGGTAAAAAAAAAATGAGTTTTCAGAACCACGTTAAAATATTTACTTTTTCCAGAAGCAACAGAATTTAGTTTATGCCGCATTTCAGTTCGGCCAAATAGTGATACCAAGAACCGGAGTTAGAAAAGACAGTTGTCAACTGTTGTCATCCCTTCCACCCCATGAAGAACAAAGCTTTCTCACACATCCAGTCTGTGACAGTGTGGAAAAAAGCAGTGTCCTATCAGCTTCTCCAAACTGTGTCTGCCGAAGTAACAGGCACTGCAAGACTCAGTTAGGCAGGGCAAAATCCCTACATTGAAAGATGGAATAGCAACACCAGGAGTAATTTAACTGTAACTTTTATTTATCTTTTTTTTATTTGGTGAGGGACAAAAAAAGCTTATGTCACATCCCTAAATGGATTAAGAAGTGACTCTAGGGAGTGGGGCCTGACCGCCGAGCTGCTTGGCTGCATGAAACATGTGCTACGTGCAAGAACTCCCTAATCAGCTAACAAATCGATATTTGTCTCCAGCAACTAAGTTATTCAATTTGGGAGGTTTCTGAACCCTGCCGGATGAGCTAAACCAGACACTGATATGAGGCCTACAGATGGAGGCGAGTGTGGGAGAAGCGGCTGATCTCCCTGCTGGCTGATCTGCTGGAAAACGCTGAAGCAGTTGGACCCCCTTATCCCCCGTGCCGGTGGGAGATATCCCGGCACATAACAGCTACAAGTGGGACCATACAACTTATCAGTACCTGATACTAGCACTCAGCCATGTCACCTGAGCCAAGATGGTGGCTGCTGATCCTGCTGCAGCTACATAAAGTCTGCAAAAGACACTCGAACAGTGACTGGACGACTTTCTCCACAGATTCTGCAGAGGGGCCAAAACTCTAAAGGAGAAGCAGGGACACGCAGAGCAGAGACACTTACCTACCGACAATCTACACCTCATGGCTGGCAAGAGACAGATACCGCCGTAACGGCATGAGGCATCAGGGCGGGAGGGACACATACCAACTATAACTGCTTCCCTCTAGGCTTATCTTACCACCTGAGAGCAGCTGTCATGGTCCCTACCACTCAAGGAGTATAACCCTTGTGTAACAGCCTGTTTTTGTTAGACTCTAGCTTGTTTTTCATATCATATCAGCCTTGCACAAGTGGTCAGCAATAACCCTCTGATTCACTAGTTTTGCCATTTAGCTAGCATACCAATCGTCCCATACTTACGCACCGTAGCCAGAGCATTGCTTGACTATATAGCTATATTTCTTACTATGCACAAAAATCAGACAGTAACTCACACTGTTTAAATCAGGGCTGTCCAACCTGCGGCCCCCCAGATGTTGCTGAACTACAACTCCCATGATTCTTTCAATTAAAAAGACAGACAGGGAATCATGGGAGTTGTAGTTCGGCAACATCTGGGGTGGCCGTTTAAATGTTAATGCCAAAACTGTTAGCTGGACATAATCTAGTCTAATTTCTGCTGATAATTACTTTCAAAATTGTGCAGTGACCTTGAATGCCACATACGGTTATGTTGTATCTCTTTTTGGTCTTGCTACTGCTCTTGGGGCATTGCAGGAACATTTGTGGTAGGAACGAAGACTGAGGATCGCCCTCTGCTGTTCAGTGTGTGGGAAACCCATGTTTCTCATGCTCCGGCAATCATCCTGTAGCACTCAAGTATAGTTTGCAATAGGGTTAAACAACCTACACTATCACACCATAGACAGGCGCCATGGGCTGTCACCACTGGAACATCAAGAAAGGAAAAGCATGCTGGCCTTTAGAAAGACTCCATAAATCTGGGCAATCAGGCAGGCGATTTAGTTAGGCTGCTGTTTTGACATGGCCCTAAATTGAATCCAACAAAAAATTAAACATTGGGCTGATGGAGATGTTCATGGGTTGATGAGGAGTCCAAAATTTCCTTGTTCAACCAGGATCTGTTGAAGACTGCCACTATCCTTAACATTCTCCCTGCTTTGCCTAAGGATAGTAGGAGTGGAGAAGGTACTGCTCCTGTTGATCCACTGTCATTGTAGTGGTTTCACCCTGCCTTATGTTGGTGTTAAAAAAATGGGCTGCTGCTTGGTGGATGTACTACTAGTGTAATCAGGGATAGATTAAGAGACCATTGAGTCTGGTGCTGACAATTATGATGGGCCTAATTACACAATTGTATTGACAGAAAACACTAAAACAGTCATACCTTTCAAGCATCATGTATCTGGTTGAGATGGTTCTGGAGGGAAACTCACAGGCTGCAGCTATAAGAAAACACATACCCTATGCTAATCTCTCGTTTTCATCTCTAAACCAAATCCATGCTCCATGACGGCATCATCTGGTGAAGTAGGATGATGGTGGGTGGGGTAAAAGGGTGGGCCACTGACACTAATCACATAACCAGCACCGGACTTGCCCGGAAAGGGGGCAGGTCTGCCCGAAGAATTGGAAGGTGCATGAGTGCATGTCAGGCTGCCAATCATGCAGGCTGATCAACTAAGGGCATACTATACAGACAGTGCTGTCCCAGGACCCCGAGCTTGCCAAAAATGAATCTAATGATACGCTCGCTCTATGCTTTCTGACGACAGTCCCCAGCACTCACTTGTCCACTCTTCTCCTTGTATTCAGTCTGTGACAGAGAAAAGATGTTGGGAGTGTAGAAGAAGGGGACATGTAAGAGAGAATGAATCAGCAAGAGCATTTGTGCAGTGTGCAAAGCCAGCTTTACCTTATCTAATTTATAGTCAGCCTGTCCACTCAAGTTTTGTTCCTCTACATCCAAGCTTAACTGCTTAATTCCCTCTGCAAAAAACAAGACCATGTGAGGAGTAGTTAAAAAAATAATAAATGTAAGTATATATATATATATATATATATATATATATATGTTACAGTTAAAGTGCAGAAATCAGTTAATGTGCACATTAACTAGGCTGGTCAGTTAAAGTGCAGAAAACTGTTTCATTTCTCAAATTACCTAGGTAATCTGCACATTACCTACTAGGCACTAGTTAAAGTGCAAAATAAGATCTTTTGCTGGAACAACAGCAATATTTAAAAGACCACCCTCAGGGTCCCCTTCCCACCCGGCTCTGGGAGAGGAAATGGTTAAAACTTACCTTTTTTTCCAGCGCCGGGCGGGGAGCTCTCCTCCTCCTCTCCTTCGGCAGAATGCGCATGCACGGCAGAATGCGCATGCGCGGCAGGAGCTGCGCGCGCATTCAGCCGGTCTCATAGGAAAGCATTTACAATGCACATTTACAATGCACATTTACAATGCTTTCCTATGGACGCTTGCGTCTTCTCACTGTGATTTTCACAGTGAGAATCACGCAAGCGCCTCTAGCGGCTGTCAATGAGACAGCCACTAGAGGATTTGGAGGCTGGATTAACCCTATTATAAACATAGCAGTTTCTCTGAAACTGCTATGTTTATTAAAAAAAAAAGGGTTAATCCTAGAGGGACCTGGCACCCAGACCACTTAATTAAGCTGAAGTGGTCTGGGTGCCTAAAGTGGTCCTTTAAGAAGCAAGTTAGTACAATCAAACAAGAATCAAGTAAATGTTATTTATTTAGCAACAAAGAAGCAAGTTTCTGTTACAAAACTGCAATAGAAAGAATCAAACGATTAAGGAAATGAATTTGCTAAACAAACATATTATAAAACTATGCTTACTTATTAGTGCAATCTAAAGATTGGCGACACTTTGAATTACATATCAATTTGTTTTTGCAACAAGCACACCTATTTGTGGTACATTTTCAATTTGCAGTCACATTTTTGGAAACCCTGCCAGTACCAAGGGATTGTTAGATTGCTGTTTGACATAAAGATATTTCTACAGCAGGGACATCTTTCGTTAAAAATCTCTCTTGGCAAACACTGAATTACAATTTGGCATACAATTGTTTCAAAATACCCGTTTTAGTACCAAGTTTATAAAAGCCATCCTCTGTTTTACTTAGAACCACAGCTTAAAAAAAAAATTAAAAAAAATAAAATCGAGCGGGCATCAGTTTTTCCTCTGTCCACTTCTGGTACTTTAATTCTCACAGTGACACCTTCGTCAACATTTGGGTGCTTTGCATTAGAAACTGCTAACATTTTCTTTGCTTGCTTTTCTAAACCACATAGTGACATACCTCCTCTTCAAAACAGTTATCCCAAACTGGTAAGAAACGAGGAGACCCCCACCACCACTACAAGAGAGCGAGTGCTTTCCTGCAAATTATGCAGCAACCACCCAGAAATGATCCAGAAGATGCTCTCCACTGTTCTCAATATCATCATCATATTTGAAGGACTGTCGGAATCAGTGGTCCATGAGCAGACCTCTCCTTGGTCTCATTCTCCTCAATGAGAAGTATTTCTCGGACTTACGGAGCAGCATTGTTGTTAGTAGCCAGCCCCCTCTGAGAAGCAACAAGCCATGAATCTATGCTTTGAGAATTCGAATGGAGGGCATTGAAAAGGAACTTGCTCACAAAAACAATCGAGACAGGTTCACACAGAATCTTTCTGCATTCAGACGAGAAGTGACCAACTCTGCAGAGACTGCACTGAAAGGGTGAAACAGGTTCTGCTGCGAGGACGTTTTGTAATAAATAATTTCCTCTTTACCGAGGGGAAAGAAACAAACATTTTGCACTTTAACTAGACGGAAGCAGTTAATGTGCACATTACCTAGGTAAAGTGCGGAAAACTCTCAATTCCTCACTTTAACTGAGCAAATCAGTTAATCTGCAGATTAACTAGGTACTGTGCACATTAACTGATTTCTCACTTTAACTGTAACATACATATATATATATATATATATATATATATATATATTCAATATGCTTGCACTCCAGGTCCAATAATAATGTCCGTCGCAAATCCAGCAAACAATGTAGATATCCAAAAATAGAATGCACTCCAGGGTCTTGGTTCATTCTATCATTCTATTTTTGGGGATATAATATATATATATATATATATATATATATATATATATACACACACACACAGACACACACACACACATTCTTTTCAGTTTCTTAATTTAATTTTAATATACACATTATATTTATATATAAAAACACACTCAAATGGCATATACTTGCACACAAAATGACCTGCCTGGATAAGATAATGTAAAGGATTCTAAAATAGAAATAAATACTATAGAGTTATAATTGTGATAAAAATAATGTTGAAAGTAAATAAATGTAATGAGCATACTTCCAGTAAAACTAATTCTAAGGAGGGGGATATCTTCTATTCCCTTATTTTATTCAATAAATGTGTCTGTCTAGTGTTTAGTCCATAAAGTACTAGGGATTTCATATCAACTCTGTTTCTCATTTTGCCAAAGCTTGTGTAGTATTGTAGTGGGTCTCGGTACTCAGTAAACAGAGCATTTAAGTTATGAAGAAAGGTTAAAAAAATTTAAATCTGTTTAGTTTTGAAAAACGGCGCCTGAGAGGGGATATGATAACATTATGCAAAGATATTCGGGGCTAGTATAAACCTTTATCTGGAAATCTATTCATATACAGGGCTATACATAGGACACGAGGTAACACATTTAGGCTGGAAGAAAGGAGATTTCATTTAAGGCAAAGAAAAGTTTTTTTTACAGTTAGAGCAATAAGGATATGGAATTCTCTGCCTGAAGAGGTGGTTTTGTCAGAGTCTATACAGATGTTTAAACTGCAATTGGATCAATACTTGCAAAAACATTACATACAGGGATATAATTTCTAATTAGTGGGGTAATAGCTGCTTGATCCAAGGAGACATCTGACTGCTATTTTGGGGTCAAGAAGGAAATTGTTTCCTAGTTTGTTGCAAAATTGGAAGCGCTTTAGACTGGGTTTTTTGCCTTCTTTTGGATCAACAGCAAAAACATATGTGAGGAAGGCTGAACTTGATGGATGCAAATCTCTTTTCAGCTATGTAACTGTAACTCTGCCTGAGTATCTCTGCTATTTTCCCTCCTTCTAGCCACAGAATACAACAATAGATGTAAAACAACACACAACCAATTGTGTGTTGTTATTTTACATCTTTTCATGCCTTTTAATATATTGAGAGAGAAGACTGGGAGCTAAGAGCATCTTAAGGTCCTCAGCTCTTTTATAAATTACCGTTGGTTTGTCGGGTAACATTTCTGTTAGGATCTGGTTTTAAAATGGGCCAGCATTTCCCTATTGCCTTTTTAATTGAGGTTTCCTTACTATTATATAATTATAATATTATATATCGCATGTTAATCTTTAGGGATGCATTGTAGTTATGCAAGGTGTTGACAACTTGAATAATCAATAAAACAGTTTCTGTCTGTTGGCTTAAAATATGTTTGTTGCATGCTTTTACTTCAAAAATAAAACATGGATTCTCTTCCTATTTCTACTGCGAATTTATAACAATACATGCTGTTAGTGACATAGGAGATGACAAGATGACATCTTGGAGACTAGTTGTGTCCCTGTCTCAGTTGATTAGGACATCATCGATGTAATATCTTCCTATTACCAGAGTCTCCACAAATGGATTGTTTGAATAAATCTTCAATTCACAACCTGCCTCAAAAATATTATTGTAGCGTGGGGCAAACCTGGGACCCATGGCATTCTTGTACATTTGGACATAGTATTACCCTTCAAACCAAAAGAAATTCTTAGTTGAAATAAAATCCATACAATCCAAAATAAATTTGGCCTGTAAAGTGGACATTTCAAGAGCAGATTCCAGCACCTCCTTAATAGTAGTGATCAGTCACCTGAAGCTACATCTACCGTAGCCCATAAATAATTATTTTTCCATTTAATTCTCTCAACATCAATAACTATTTGTGTGGAATCTTTAAAATATGAAGGGTCCAGTTTAACACATTTATGTAGATACAAATCTATATATACTGAAACATTACTGGTTAAGGACTTAATGCCACTAATAATAGGAGTTTGTCTGAATTTTTGTGGATTTTTGGTGGGTGGTAGAACACTGCCATTCTCAGTAATTAAATAATTATTCAAATGTATCCTTAATAATAATAATAATAATAATAATTTATTTTCTATTCCTTCTCCCAAGAGATTCTTTAATACAATTTTACATTCTTCCACTGCGTTATTCTTAATTTTCTATAAATGTTTTCATCGCCTAAGATTCTATAAGCCTATTAAATATATTATTCCTTGTCCACAACCACAATACCCTGCCCCCTTTATCTGTCTGTTTAATAACTAGGTCATATTTTTCTTTCCATTCTTTTATTGCCACTTTTTCCTTTTAGGATAGATTTTTTTTTTTTAAATCATTAAAGACCGGAATATATCCCCCTTTTTCCCATGATGGAAAAAACCTTAATCTGGATTCAACCCTAAATGGATGTAGTTTGGATGTTTCTGTACGCTAATATTTGTTTCATCCTCACTAATGTGTATTCAAATTATTAGAATCATTATTTAACATTCTTTTCCCAAAGAAATGCTTAAATGTCATTTTTCCGAGAATTGTTTTCAGTATTTTTGAATAATTCTAGATTACACTTGTAGCGGAGAGCTAGTATTGCATAGCCTATCTCCACTTTAGATCCCAGTAAGGCTCAGGAACAAGTATAATAAATCCACAGAGTAATAATTCCAGCAGGCAAAAAGTCTCCAACAATATCCCAAATGCAATCCCAATGACTGGACGACACACAGCATCAGGAGCAGAACTAAAGATTTATTCACAGCAGCTCCTTATAAAGGATTCTCCCATGCAAGGGAGGGATTTACAGTAATTACAACAGTAACCAATGATACAGAGGTTCCCTCCCCTACTTTCCTTCCCCTCAGAGTGACACTTAATCCACTTAATCCTGGCACCTTTTCCCCAGTTTCTTGGATGTACCCCAAAACCGTGGGGTACCAGGACCTAAGTGGCATCCCCTGGTAGCTCTGGTCTGGGTGACCAACATACTCAAAATTCACCCAGATCAGACCAGGGATTCGGGAGTTATAGACAATAAACGATTTGACCGACCGCACACGAATAGGTAGCCGAAAAGAGTTCCATGTATTATGGCCCTGCGGTCGGTCTTCATTTGGGAGATGAAACAGACAGAAATCCTTGCCATCCATAGATAATACCGGGTTCGCACGAACCCCCTTGTTCGGTATATTGAACTCACCGAACGAGGAGTCGATTAGCCCCTATGTTCGTGAGTTCGGGAGCTCTAGAGGTCTCAGCGGTGTTCGCACAATCGAGTGTCCGATTTGGGTTCCAGACACTCGACGACCAAACACCGCTGAGAGTTCGTGCCTAAGATGGCCGCCGCCACGTGTTCGTCTACCGAATGGCGGCCACCCAGATACAGCAATAAAACCTCAATTAGCTGCGGTTAAAAAGGGAATAAGGGTTTAACTAGGGACACACTTTGTCTCTAAGGTGGTCTATGCATTCGGTAGTTTCCATTCGTATAACTATGAAGGAAACTACCGAACTAACATACGAACTTAGATACAATTTTCAATGTACATTCAGTTAAAACAGGTGAACAGTCTTTTAACATATAATTCTGGCAGACAGTCACAGGCCATCCGCTACAAAAATTTTTTATTCAAGGGGGCACATTTTAACTCTTTTTCAAAATCTTTAAATCTTTTTCGAATGGTTAGCAGATGAATGAGGCAATTTCTAGACTACTAAGTGTAAGAATGTGGCATGGAAAAAGGCCTAAAGGCAAAGTAAAAATAAAAAATAATAAATAACTTTATTAGATATACTGAGATAAAAAAACAAAGAATAATAATGAAAATGGATCCTACAATGAAAAAAGAAAATGTAAATAGTTAAAAACCACAAAAGAGATACATCTTAGTGATATAAAGTAAATACTAATGTCTTAAAAGTATGTCAATGCTCAACACAGCACACGTCTGTACTGTGTAAAAAGGGAAGCAGAGGGGAGAGAGGATCTAAGTATATAGTGACTTTATAGAAAAATTTTAATCTCAATCTATGATCACTAGATAACAAACTAATAAAAAGAATTATCAGATTGTTGCTGGACTATTCGTATCATAATCACCACGTGTACATTTGCAGAAACTGCTACATAGATGCTAGATACTGTGTTACCAATGCGTGGCACTAAGGTACTCAATAATGTAACAAAATCAAAAATCCTAAATAATTCGATAAATAAACAGAAATGAAAGGCTGAATAATAAATGATGATAAGACTATCTATATCACAGTCTCCACATCAGCGTCTGCAGAGCATGCTACAGACCTAGAGGGGTTGTGAACGAAAAACTAAATTGCCAGTCCGAAACAAATACGTCTAAATAATAAAATGACGAAGTGAAAAAAAACAAAGATAGAGAAGATACGCTGATCCTACGTGCTAAATCCCCCCATGTGCCTTCATGGGCACCTAAAGCTAACCCCACTAGAGGATTCCTAAAAGAACATCAGAAAGGAAAAATAAATAGGTATGATAAATAAATAACGGCTAGATAACGCCAAGATCCCCTGACGCGCGCGTTTCGCCCAAGCTCGTC